TTCAAGTGTGCTAGAGAGAGAGAGAGAGAGAGAGAGAGAGAGAGAGAGAGAGAGAGAATGTGAGAAGCAAGGGATGGGGTCAAATAAACAGGGTTACCATTGGTTATATGGGATCTCCGCAGAATAGCTACTAATTGTAAAAAGGCAGGGTCGCCCTTGCTATGTGCTGCGAGGCTAAAATGAGTCTCTACAGACCAGGAGAGATTCTAGACTCCTTGGAGCTGCAAGGGGAGAAAAGGAGCATGGGGGTGCAGCCAGTTACTGCACTAGCCTTTTGGCCTTGGAAACCAAGGTTCAAATGCTATCTTGGGGTCACAAAAAAGAACGCTGTAAGCGCTCTCAAGGCCAGAGGGATATTTGGCTGGAGGGGGAGAAGGCAAGCAGATACGTTGGCAGAGCTTGAAAGGCAGAGAGTGCAAGGGCTGGAATAACAAAGGATGCCGAGGTTCAGAATGGAATTGCATTGGTGGAAGGGTGTGTGCACACGCATTGGACTGCAATACTACTGGGTTGAGCTAAAGGAGAATCTTGATTCGATGCTAGCCATATAGGGCAGTTGTTCATTTGTATGCACTCTCCAAACACACACACCCCAATTCAGAGATCTGGGTTTCACAGGAGCCCAGACATGTGACATCCATGTAACACATTGGAACGTCCCAGGATTAAATGGTTGTCACAATGCTCCACCTCATTGCCACCTAGCACAACAAAGGACTGTCTCAAAGGAGCAGACGTGACCCCATTCTCCTAAAGAAATACACCTTTACCCCGATATAACGCAACCCGGTATAACGCAAATTCGGATATAACGCGGTAAAGCAGTGCTCCGGGGGGGCGAGGCGGGGCTGCGCGCTCCAGCGGATCAAAGCAAGTTGGATATAACGCGGTTTCACCTATAACGCGGTAAGATTTTTTTGGCTCCCGAGGGCAGTGTTCTATCGGGGTAGAGGTGTATTTATGTCTTGTGTCACAAGACCCCAGTGCTTGTGGGGGCAGGACCCTTCTGGAGGGCATTCAGCAGGGTGTACTCAATAGATGCTGGTAGCTCTTGTCCTTAATACTGCATCTTCATGTAATAAAACAACGCTGCTGGCTAACACACAGCATACCAGGCATTTTAATTGAATCAAACAGTGCTGTGCTGGGACCCATTGACCGGGCTGGGAGGGAGCTCTGCCTTTAATAGACTTCATTTAAAATACACTGACACATATTTTATATACAGATAATGTTATTATTATTGATTTTCCAGCCTATTAGCCATTTTGTTTACATTTCTGAAAAACCCTTGCCATTCCCTTTGGACACGTGAGGTCACTGGTTCCCACAGGGGGATGTGAACCCAGCCCGGCTTGGCTGGAAGGATGACCGCTGGGATAAGAAGAGGGAGCTACTTGAGGATGTAGCATGGAGAAACATGGGAAAGGGTGTGACATCCCAGGGTACAGTCCAGACTAGTGAGGGGCTGTGTCACCCCTGCCCTGTAACCTGGGCTGCTCTTCACAAGGCCGGGCTGCTGAAGCCTCCACCCTGGACTGCTCACAAACAACCTCCAGCGTGTAAGTCACTCCCAGCAATGTCCATGTGTGTGCTGCAGCCAGCCAGCCACACCTTGACTCTTACCAGCCTTGGCTATACTGCAGGGTGACCCCAACACACTCCCAGTCCTAGATCTTCCCCCTGAAATACATGTCCTGCCCTGCCCAGCCCTTTCCTGGACAGTACAAATATATTACGTCCATTATTCCTTAAGGGAGCAATATGCCATCTTATTACCTTAAAAAGTTATCCAGACATTTCAACTTGAATACACTGGATTAGATAAAACAGTAAAACAAGTTTATTAACAAGATAGATTTTAAGTGAGTACAAGTAATGAGGCATAAAAGTCAGAAATGGTTACAAGAACAATAAAGATAAAATGCAACCGATGCCTAACTTAACAACCTGTATCAGATTCAAAGCAAAGTTTCCTCACCACATGCTTTCAGCAGTCTTATTGACCAAACTCTTTAGGTCAGGACCCTTCCTCCAGAATCCAACTGCTGCTTCCTTTGTGTTTTCAGGTGCTGTGAATGCGATGGACAGGGAGAGACAGAGGGGTGTCTTGGGGTGTCTGCCCCTTCCTTTATAGTCCTGTCCCCACTTTGAGAAGCATTTCCAGCTGGGAGCAAGGTGACAGGCAGTCTGTGTGCAAGGGAAGTCCATGCTATTTCTTTGATAAGATGTAGATTTTTACCCCGCCTCCTTTCCTGCCAAAGAATCGCCACTTAGGTACCAGCATGTAATGGTTCATTAGCCGTGTTTACACCTGGCTGTGGTGTCTGCACACCCTTTGTCTCTGAGGAACTGGTCTGACCACTCCCCAGACTTAATCATACTTCTAGTCATGATCTCAGCTTCTGTTTATAACTTCACATATAATACTATGTGCATTTTGCCATTATATTATTGATCAGCAAATTAGGAGTTTTTAAATGATACCTCACAAGGCAAACCTGGTACAAACATTATTACAATAGCGTGTAGGGTGTGAACACAGGGATATATTCTGTCACAGAGGGTCTTCAGGACTCAGCCAGAGACATGACAGGATTTCCCAACACAGACACAGCCAGAAGCCAAGAGAAACTAGGAGGCGTAGGAGCTGTGAAGTGCAGACTCAGCCATATGAAAATGGAAGGGTCCTTTCCAACTCTGAGGTTACGAAAGATTCAGCAAGCCCAAAACACCCAGGGATTCTGCATCTTTGTACAACTGCGTACCAGGGGTTGGCCAAGCCAGGGGCCAGTACTCCTCTGCTTTCCTCCATCTTGGTCTGCAAAATTTACATTTTCATTTAAAAACAAAAAAGCTACATAGCCCCCACCCACACACCGGATTCTGATGCGGTCCCCCACCCACACACCGGATTCTGATGCGGTCCCCCACCCACACACCAGATTCTGATGCGGTCCCCCACCCACACACCAGATTCTGATGCGGTGTACTGCAGGGCTGCTGAAACTCTAAGTGCAAAGGGAGATGGCAAGTTCCCCTGTTTTCTCAAAAGATCTTGATCCTGAAACCTGGTGATGTCACTTTCCATGTGCACATTGTTCGATATTTTACAGATGATCATTTTGGTGGCCCAACTTGGATGATGGGTGGCATTTCAGGTCTCTCCCTCCCTCTCCCCTCACAAGAATCTACACCCTTTAGAATACAGGTGCAAGAGACTGTCGCACGAGAAAAAAAATCAGGGACCCATCAGTAATCTAGCAGAACAAGGCTTAGAGAAGACAGACCTGCGATCATCATGACTGTCTCAGGGATTTGGGGGCACATGGCATCCCACACTGCATGACTTAAGCATCCTCCCCCACCACTATGATTATCACTGGTGCCCAAAATAGGCCTTGAATTCACTTCAGCATGGCTGTAGATCTGGAGTCCTCACTCCCCTCGATACATAGGTACCTTCCATCAGTGTGACAGGATGTCGGCCACGCGCAGGGAGGGGAGATCACATGGTGCTGGCTGTGTGGTGGGACAGCACACGGTTAGGCGTTCTGGTCTTTGCTAATAGCAGGTTTGTTAATGTGAGTTACGTCCTGAGACGCAGCAGAGAGGAGGGGGAGACTAGAAGAGGGGGGGGAATTCTACTTGGCTGGAAACATGGCCCTGAAATCAGGTTGCCTGCGAGAGCCGCCGCCCTCACAGCACTTCAGGGGCAGATCTGTAAGTAACAGAGTGCAGTTTTCTGGCCCATCGATAATGCATGAAGCCCCATGAATAATACAGGAGCAGCACACTTCAGGGTAGAATTTACTAACAACCTGCCCCAGAGTTAGTGATGTAACTCCCCCTAATCGTGGCCCCCCGGGGAGCTTTTGCACAAATTAACTCCTCTCATCGACTGGAAGTGCCGCGTGCCATCAGCAGCTGGCACTTTGCCACTCTGGGGACAGGGCTGCTTTTCAGATACAGCTATTGATTCTCCTTTATTTGTGCTTTTCCCAAAAGCGCTCCAGGCTTTGAACCCCTGCTGCCAGGCCAGCTGATTCACAGGAGGGGGAGATACATTCTCTACGCTACAGACAGGGATTTTGACTCCCAATGCTGTTCTGCTCCTGCATCCACCACTCTGTCCATAGTAATTGAAACACGCTTCTTTCTGCTCACTCAACTCCATGCCAGGCCCTATCAAGCCTCAGGGCTCATGCCTGACCATTACAAACAATGCCACTTAAAAGCAGCCTTCCCTTCTGTTCTATTTTCCCACAACCACTGTAGCCCATGGACTGTCTCCTGGAATAGAGCTATCATTCCCCTAAGTGCAGAACAGGGAGGTTATCTGACTCCCTTGACATGTGCCAGGCACCCCAGTGGGGTGATATAAACAACCGTTTCCTAGTAAGAAAAGGATGGTAGTTGCCCCGCTCAGATACTACAGTGGTAGGATGTGCTGCCAGGTGTTCCAGTTAGAACTCAGGTACCAGGCCACCCAGCGTTCCAGTGCTTACCGTTAAGAAGGAGTACTTTCCGGGAACAGTACTTGAGATTAACAGAGCTTTCTCCCTATGCGCTCAGAGGAAATAGCTCTGGTAACTGCATGGTGCCTATTGGCATATGCTGACTTTTCAATGTCCAGCTAGAAGGCACCCACCGGGATGCCTAATGTCACAGATACAACTTCAGACCAAGAGACAATTCATTTATGCCAATACTTTTATCAGTCTTTAAGAGGTCAAGAGGATGGAAGGAACTGCAGGGCGTATGTCACAAGAATCATAGACATGCAGGGCTGGAAAGGACCTCAAGACATAATCAAGTCCAGCCTCCCTGTGCTGAGGCACGACCAAGTACATATAGACCATCTCCGACAGGTGTTTGTCCAACCTATTCTTAAAAGCCTCCAACGATGGGGATTCCACTACCTCCCT